CGGCTCTTTTCCTTCTCTCCCTAACGCACCTGCAGAGCGGCTTCGCTTCTACGTCCGCGGTCGTCACAACGACATTGGGTGGGTTTGGGGGGTGGGGGCCAGGTTGCCGGAGCCGGGCAGGGTGTGATGAGCTGGGACGGGGGCCAGGGCGTAGCAGGAGCAGTGCGAGCCCGCGGCCCCGCGTTAGGAGGTCCCGGGGCGCCGCCGGCTTTGCTCTAGTTTGCAGGGCGCGGGGAGGGGCCGCTACGTGCCCTGCACCGCAATCAGAGACAAGGAGCCCTGCGAGGGTGGGCCAAGGGGGCTCTGACCTCTCCCTTTTCTTTTGTAGAAATAATTCCCGGATTTTCAGTGTGAGTGTAAGTGAGGAGTTAAAGCATCAGTTTTACTGGCAAGAAGCCGAGGGAGGGCAGATCCCAGAAGGGATTCATCATCTGTATGAGAAGCAACGTATGTGCACACATGGAAATCGCTAAATATCAGTACAGGGAGGGGGCTTTTGACGTCATTCCCCGGTAACAACCAGCAGATGTGACGTTGCAGCCCCTTCAGCCTCGGAAGAGCAGTCGTCGTTCAGCTCCGTCCCTGGGTCAGTCCCGTTTAGAGGGTGAGGCTCAGAGGTTAAAAGACGTGCCACAGGGAGGGTCCGTGGCAACACGAGGGCTGGGTAGAGCCTAACTCCGCGTCCTGTGCCCCGAACCCCTCTCATTCACGTCCCTTTATGTCAGTGGGCTCTGGACGAGCCCGAAGCCTGATCTGCGCGTGTGAGACGCTCTGCTGTGCATCTTATATAGATCAAATATGCTGCTGAGGAAGCAAAAGCGGTCTCCCAAGCCCCGGAAGGGAGGCTGAGTGTTTGTGGCCTGCCAGCAGCTGTCAGTAGCTGTGCGGAGCTGAACTTCGCCTCCCTGTTGACACTGGCTCTAGAGCCCCGGTTTAGTGCTCGCAGGCAAGGGCAGCTCAAGTCGTGGCGGCCCCCCAAAGCCGCTTTCCGCCCTTCCCGCGCCTCTGCCGGGCAGGAGCCGGGGACATTCAAGGCAAAGGGCCCTGGAGGGCCCCGGCACGAGAAGCCGCCGGGGAAAGGAGCAGAAGAGCTCGGTCTGCTCAAAGCTGCTCCGCTCCCCTGCCCAGACCTTCACGCGTCCCCCTGCTTTTCCCCTCGGTGTGCCCAGCCTGGGCCTGGCTCCTAAGGGTTCATTCAGACTGCCGGGACTCGTCCCGGGACTCCACCAAGATCGCTGCTGCCGGATTCAAGCGCGGGGACTGCGGCTCCTCTGCCTCCCCCTTGGACAGCGCCGCGGGGGCGCTGGGCTGGGGCACTCACATGGGTTTCCCTCCCCACTCCCGGCCCCGTGGGCCCACACGCACGTGCCCAGAGGCCTTTCCCACGGTCCCGTGCCCGTGGCTTCCAGGGCAGAGAGGAGCTCGCCCGTGCCAGGGCCGTGGTAGTGCAGCGGGCAGCCTGCCCCCGCCTCCGGGTCCTAACCCCAGCGCCTGCCGGAGCCTCGCGCGGGGCGAGCTCTTCTCTCTTCCACATCCAGCCACGCGCCTGGGATGCTCGGAGGTGGCTGTAGCTTGCGCAGCTCCCTCCCGCCGCTCGCAGCCCCCGCCGGAGCCAGTCATGGCATATCTGCCTGCTCGGGCGGGAGGAAGCATGTAGCGGTGCCAACCTCTGTGCCCCCGGGCCCGTGGCAGGCAGGGCCGCCCGCGTCTCGGGGCGCTGCGGCGCCGGATCCCGCCTCCCTCGAGCTCAGGGACGTTTGGCGCTAGACTTTTCCCGTGGCAGGAGCTGAACGGCGGCCTGAGCACGCCAGCCATTTGCCACCGTGCGGCCGGGCCCAGGTCGGCAGTTATGCCAAGCCGGCTGCTAGGGAAATATTTGAATTAGTTTCGGGGCGGGCGGAAGCCACTCGCTCGGGAACGCAAGTGCTCAACAACGAGCGGGGGCGGCATGCTGGTCACGCCGCCGCCCTCCGGGACCAGCGCGTCTATCCTCCCTTGTCCTTTGGGCGCTGACTTCGTCTCTGCCGCAGGCGGGGGGGGGCTCCTTCCCGGCCCGGGCACAGACCCGCCCCCGTTGCTGGGCTTTGTGTTTCACAGCGCCCCGCGGACGCTTTACCGCACCTGATCCGCGGGGCCCGGTGTCGGCACTGCCGAGGCGTCCGGGGCGGCGGGCAGGGCAGGGCAGGGCAGGGCCGGGCCGCCCGGTGCGGAGCGGACGGACTCACGGCTCCCCCAGGCTTGCCTAGTCTGACCTCCCCGGAGAGAAAAGCCACCGCGTTGCCTCGGGGATTTGTTGCGCCCGCGACCAGGACCCAGCCCCGGCGTAACCTCTCGCGATTGCTTCTTTGAGTATCAGCAGGGGTGACCGCCCCTCGGCTGTAAAGGCTGGGAGGGCGGGCCGCCGGCCGTGGGGGACACTGACACGGGATAGTGGGCAACAGGGACTCTCACGCTGGGACCCAGGGATGGTGGGCAACAGGGACCCACGGGATGGTGGGCAGCCGGCCGTGGTGCCCCGAGGGGGTGGGGAGCGGGCGCTGGGACTGACCCAAGGGAAAGCTTTAGCCCCAGCGGGCTCTGGCTCTGAGCCTGGGGCTGCGATCACCCGGGGCGCCCCGCACCCCCCAGCCCTGCTCTTGCTCCGCGTGGCTCGTGTGCTGCCGCCCCGCAGGCGGGGGAGAGCAGCTCTGGCCGGCGGCCCCAGCCCGCGGCGGGCACAGCACGGGGGAGCAGGGCCCCGCGCTTTGCCTGTCGCTCCGCTGCCCCCGCCCCGCCCGCCCCGCCGGGGGGCCCCGGGGCAGCAGGTAGCCGCGCGCACACCTTGCGGCTCGGGTCGAGGGATGGAGATTATTGGATTAGTGACCCGCAACGTTAATTGCCCTTGAACTCCCCCCGCCCTTCCCCCCGCACAGCTCTGAAAGCAAACCCAGACCCCGGCATTGCTCATTCCGCACGAGGTGTCTCAGCTCCTCCCTGCTCTCCCCGCCCGGGCCGGCACGAAAGGGGCAGCGCGGACTTCCCACCACCGACTCGCTGCGAAGAGGAGCTTTGCCCGCCCCCGGTCAGGCCCTTCCAGCCTCCAGATCAATGGAGCCCCCTTCCCGCCCCCTTGCCTTCCCTTCCCCGGCCGGCCGGGCTGGTCCTGTGCCGGGGAGACCGCCCGGACGTGTCTCCTGGCCGCGGGGCGGCGCAGCGCCGGGCGCACGGGCCAGGTGCACACAGCTTCCCAGGGGCTGTTTTAACCTCTTCAGCCGCCCCTCGGCGAGGAGCCCATCCAGGCCTCTGACCTCTCGCTGCCCTTCTCTGGCCCTCTGAAGGGCCGGGAGCCAGAACTGCCCCCGTGGTCAAGGCCTAGGCGCCCCGTAGCAAAGCCGAGGGAAAGAGGTGCTTTCCCTGGGGTTTGCGGGTGCTCGGTGCGCGGCTGTGCCCAGTGCAACAGGCAGCCCCGCTTCCCGCGGTTAAACCCATCTCCCGCCGCCGCGCCCCGCCAGCTGCGGTGCGGCCGAGGCAGGGCTGCTCGGGTTTGGCCGAGCCGGGGGAAGGAGGCGGGGCGGCGCTGTGCAGCGGGGAGCGGGCAGCGCCGGCAGGCCCCCCAGCCCACCCCTGTGCACCCTCTCCCAGGCGCTTGAAACGGGACACGGCAGGCAGCACAAGAGGAGCGCGGCAGCCTCCTTCCTCGCCCCGGAGGCGGGCGAGCTAGGCTGGGGAAGGGTTTCGAGGGGAGCAGCTTCCCCACTTCTACCCCGCTGCGGTAGCCGCCTCCTCGGCCTGGGAGTCTGGAGCGCGCGGGGCACTTGCCTTCCCCAGCAGCAGCGCCCGCCGCCGGCCCCGCCTCGGCGACCACCGGCTCTCGGCAGCTCTGCGCTTCCGGAGGCGGCGGCGCTTTGCGCTCCCACAGCCCGCCGAGGTTTGCCGAGCCAGGAGGCTTCACCTAAGGCTCTGAATTGTTCCAGGAGTACAACACTTCACTCTGGTGAATTAAGCGCAGACATTTAGGGTCAAGGAGAACTTTAGTAACCTCTCTCACCCCTTCTTTGGACGTTGCTCTTTCAGCTTTCCTCTGGAGTCCTCCGGATTTTATGCCTCTGCAGGGAACAACTTGTACCCCTGCCTCATGAAAACAACCCACCCGGTCAAGCAAAAAAGAAGCACCCAACCTAGTGACATTTTTTCATAGAGACAGCTGTTTTGAGAACCGTTTCTGACTTCTTCAGACACATATCAAAAGAGAGGATTACAGTCATGCCCATGGCCTTGGTTATTCAGGTTGTTCTCCAATTGAAGTGGGTTATGGAAAAAAAAACGTTTTTGGAAATAACGTTTTTAAAAAGGAAACAATACAAGGGTTCAAATGCTTTGAAATACTGAAAACATTTTTTTATTTTAGAATTCTATACAAAGTTGGATAGATACAGAAGGGGTCACGACAAAATGTGTTCTTATTGCCTGCAAATTGTCACATAGAAATAGAAACATTGATGGCAAGCTTACTGACATCCAACATGATGAGATATCCTTAAACTTGCAAAACAAACATGGGGGGGACAGAATACAAAGCACTCCTAAGTAGTTTAGTGTCCTTGAAGTCTTCCTCTGTATATATCAAACTTAAAACACTAAGAACCAAGGTATAAGTTTTAATGCACACTGCACAATAATGAAAAATTAAGTACAAAGCAGGACCAAATACATGTAAAGTATAATCCTGAAAACACACTAAATTTTATCAAGGGCACTGAATTATTCCAAGAATGACTTCCTGTATAATGTGTTTTATGGGAGGCAAACATCTTGTTTTCTGCACAGGACATCACTATTTGATGGAGTTACAAGAACAGATGGTAACTAACAAAGGAAACAAACTTGATCACAAGTGCAACTCAAATTCCATGCCAGTATTCTCACAGATCTAAGCAAAACTACGCACTAAATTATGCTAAAACTGTTGTTCTCAGAAAGTCCTTGGCACTTTTCTCCAAATAACCTTGCTCTCAATTTAAAAAAAAAGGAATGAATTACATTTCTGCAATTGTGTTATAAGGCAAAACTATAAATGCAAATACCAAGACAAGTTACAAAACATACACCTAGCATTAACTTCTAGGTGAAATAGCTCACTATTACCCTTCTTCTTCATCACTGTCTTTCATGGTGATACCTTGAAGTCCTCCTGCATCAGTGACTGAGACTGTAGCCTCCTCTACTGTAAGACGGCTGTGAACAGTATCATAAGTTTTACTGTTCAACGTTCCTTCCAACACACCCTGCAACCTGAAGTCTCGGTAGGTTTTCTGTAGTAAGGAGAGACAGTCTGAATGTATCATTGGACTTTCCCGAAGTCTTGGCATATGCATAAAGTGCCTGACAATCATGCACTATAAAATGTTGTAAGGCAGGCCCAGCATTAAAAAAATGTGATTATTGTAGTGTGTAAACTTTTGGTGAGTGCTCAGCAATTTCTGGACATTTAAAAATGTCTTCTGTTGAGCCCTACCAAAAGGAGGGGCTGAAAGTCAGTTATCACATTTGAAAATGTAGCACCCAATGACAATGTTATGTGCCCATATATCCACAACTTCTGATTACCTGTGAACTTTCGCCTAAGGAGAAAAAAACTGTTATACCAGTCAAGTAGGGAGAGATAGATAACTAGTGACAAAAGGCCAACTTATTTGAGGTGTTAAACACTTTGTCAAAGTTTGTAAGATGTGTTATGATTATTCCTTCAAGGCAGTTTTCTCTTGTGCACCACTTTAAAAAGGAATCCTATTTCCTGGGACAACTTCTCTCCAAATTTGCCAATCTCCAAAATACTTAGCTCTCAAGTTTTCCTACACTCTGGATTAAACATAATGTAACTTTCGTTAGTGGTAGTGACAGTGAAAGTGCTACTATGCTTCAGTCACAGATGTAGTTTAGACATAGAAAATTATACAAAACAGGAAAAAAATTATGTACCCAATGCTAAATCGTTATATGCCAAAGGTCCACAGCTTGAAAACCCCTTTTTTACGGGGTTGTATGTTGTATTAAATTTCTGTAACCCACTTAGTGCACATTTCTCAGTAATTCTACAGTTGTCTCATTTATTCTGTGAAAACCTGACAAAGAGCTTTTTGAATACCTAAATCAGTTCACATACTTTTGTAAATCAGTCTTAAGTATACGCATCTTGACGCTGGGAAATCTACACTCGTATACCCAACTGTAAAACTAGTTTATAGTCTAGCAGAAAATCTTAACATCTAGATTTCTTTCCTCATAATATAATTTCCTTTGTATTTATCTCTGGGTTATAAACTAGGTGTCAAAAACAAATTAGGAAACAAATTTTAAAATGTGTCTATATCCTGTGATGTAACAATTTCTATGGTGACTATTTAAAAAAGAGTGAATATTCACTGAAGTTCTAATCATCTCTAAGCCCTTCCTTTTATTCACTTGTCAAAGTTTTGTTTCTCTGATGCATAGGTTTACCATGACATATTTGAGTTTTTGCTTTCAGCGAGAAGAGTGAGAGGAGTTGCATTTTTCAGGGAAGATATTCTAAGGAAGGCAGCAGGAAAAATCCCAATAGATCCCTCCTTCCTCTCCAACATTACTCCAAAAGCATGTGATCAGCCCCTCACTAAGGGCTACTTCCCCTTCCACCCATAACTGTAGGAAATGACATGCTTTCTTTTAAAACAAACAATCCCTGCTCAGTACTTCCGAGATGGTATATCACTTCCTCTCAATACTTTTTGATGATCTGTCAAAGGGGAGAACTTAATTCTGCCACTAAATGTGGTTATTCCTTAAATCCTGTTAATGTAAGTATACTTGTTGCATTGTTTGACTTTTGGAGATTGACTAAAGACACAAGCCATTCAATGAATTGTTTCCTGTGCTCACAAGCTTTTGTTAGTGCCTTGCCTGTTCAATTTTAGGTATAACATCATATATTCTTCACCAGCTGAGCCTACAGCATTTTCTCATGCTTTGCCCTCTTTCTTTCTTTAGAAAGCCTCTTAGGACTCAGTCTTGGCTCTTCTCCTTATAGAATTTCTTGCTGGATGATAACCTCCATTTGCAAATTTCATCTCACTTAGACTCAATGGATGTGTCCAGACAAGAGCAGATGTTTGTTTTCCCAAGGACAAGTAGTAGCAGCAAGTGCGCCACCCTGCTTTTTTTGGGTGTGGATCTCCTGGGGTCAACCCTCCTGCACTTCCACTGCAAAGTACCAGTGTGGCGAATGTCTGCACGTGTGGTGTGTGGAGCCGCAGACAGGTCTGCCGTGCCACATACTACATGTCCATGCTCATCTGGATGCGGCCAATGTGAGCTCTTACCAAACACACTGGCTTCACTTTTGTCACTTTTGATAATGCCAGCATCCTTTTGTGTGTCCCAAAACACAACCCTGCTGCTGTCTCTGAACCTTCTCATTATTTTTCCCTTCCCCTCTAGTCCATTAAACTCTCATTTATTTTTCCCAGAACATTTCAAAATTCATTCCTTCTTCTCCTTATTTATTGCCAGCACACCAGGCAACACCCTTTTAGCAGAGGATGAGAGAGACAATGAAGAGATCACATCTCCTCCTTTTTTAAAGTCAGTTCAACAAGCATCCCATCCAGTGGTTTGGAGGAGCAGTGTCCAACTCTCTTCCCTCTCCCTCCCCTTATATAGCAATACCTCCCATAATATTTCCAAATGCTTTAACTGTCACCTATTAATTTTCCATGTAGACTCTTGTAGTCTCCCTTTGGTTAATCTTTCACCTATTCCACTGATCCTGCTGCCCCAGCCTACCCAAAACACAGACATCAAGGTTTTCACTCTCCTAATACTCTAAAGTTCACATACTAATACTATCAGTTTCCCATATTTAATGTTTTACATTAATGTATTGAATAAGCTGTAGCATTTAAATTCAATTAAATCAACAATGAACAACCATTAATTCAAGGGTAACCAAAACAACCAGAAGATGGAGGTATCTTACTCAGCTCCTCCAGCATCCTTAACCAAATCCCATAGACTAATGAGTTCTGCAGCTTGCCCTGAAAGCCCTCCTAACTGTTATCTGTCAGATCAAATAGAGGAGTAGGTTCCACAGCAGAAGGCTGTCAGTGAAAATGCTCTCTTCTCAGCCCTCAAACATGCATCAGCTTGAGTATCCCATTTATTTCAACTACTGGTGTGAACTATAGTCTTCTAAATGCACAGATTAAATAAATGTCTTTATGTTTTACAACTTTTAAACTTTGAATTTCATCTAGAAATAAGTTCAAAATTAAGTGAAGTAAAAGTGTAATGCAGTTCTTGTAAGTTAAACCAATTAAGTGTGTACATATAGATGTAAAGTAACACAGATAGGACTGAGTACTTCAAGGCCTTTTGTAATGCTAAAAACTGTAGGCGTTTAAACCACCTTTGGAACATCCCTCTCCTGTCTGTAACATACCATGTATTCAGCCATAAAGTTGCTACCAGTCCTACCAATAGGTGATCTCATCGCTGCCAGGACTGTTCTTTGTCTGATAGAGTTAACCATCGTGTCAGTCTGCAGTGTTAACGTAGACAGCAGTGCTGTGGCTGCAGTTAATCCTCCCAGCACAATGCACTGGTCACTGTAAGTGGCATTTTGGGATCTTCTGGATAATACTAACCTGGGCTCAAGTTTTCTGGAAGCCCATACTTAAATTTGGCTCACCCACACTTAAAATTTACTGTATGCATTTCTTGGGACTTATAGAGCCTTTACTCCAGAACAGTGTGGGTTAATACCATCTTGACTGTTGTTTTTCCTTGTGGAATACTTTGTAGAAGCCAACACTGGCAGAGGGTCTTAGCCTGCCACCACCATCAGTGGCCTGACCTGAAACCAGGTGCCTAATTCTTTTCCTACTGAAACCAATGGTGTTTTAAGATGGCAAAGCTAAAATTGAACTGAACTGATGTTGACCTGATTATGGTAATCTCTGCCATATTGGATATTTTACTGGTTTATGTTGGAAATTTTATATATAATCCCTATGTCCATGAGTTGAATTTATCTTGATATTTCAGCCATGACTACAATGTGTGACAAGACAATTAGGAGAAATCAAAGCTACCTCTGAAGCTAGAAGCTTCTTATTGGATATTTCTATGGATAGCGAGCTGTACTCAGAGTTACAACAATTGAGGAGTAAAAAAAGACCAAACATATAAAACCCACAACTTTAGAAAGGGATATGAATCGACTTCATGGCTCGCCTCCAACTAATGGGACTATGAAGAAAATCCTTTAGGACAGGGCGCTTTTTCTGAAGCATTTGATGATTGTTATATTGACAACATTGGACCTGAGAGATCAGTGGTTTAATCTATGATGGCAATTCCTATGCTCTTAATTCCCTTGGTCTTAATTTCTGGCCTATGAAAAATTAGGAAACAAAAAGTTCTCTCATTACCCTATTCCCCAGTTTGTACCTAATAAAGCATAACAGATTATAAAAAATGTAATTGAAAAAAGTTAATCCATTTTTGGGAGACAAGAAAGGACGTCAAGGTAAAAACAGCAGATTAAAAAAACCCAACTACTATAAATTTGTAAAAAGCACAGTACAAAGTCCATACCCAAATGGCTCTAATCCGCTTGTCATAGTGAATATAGAGTGTCATCAAGATTTTTGTTCACTGTTATTTATCATTAGGGACAGCATGGATAATACCTACTAATTCAAGGATAATTAAGTAAGAATTTTAAGTATACTTTGTTTCCCTCATATGGAAAACAAAAGTGAACGAATCCATGGGATAAATTAGCAATTTTTTTTATGGAACATAACTGAATTTACAGTGATCCATGTTTATCAATAGCAATTTCTTGTCTACTAATCAGTCCTCACTTTTCTCTTTGCTATACAATTTTATCTAGATGCACATTGTTTACCTTCACTATCTTGATGAGAGTCTTCAGTTGGTAGATGTGAAGTTGAAGGTCTAATCTGTCAGCCAACCATACGCATATGACTTTCATGGAGCTGCTGTACCATTGCTGGAAGGGAAAGAAAAAAAAACAGACAAACCCTGCAGTATTCATTTAAGGTATTTGGTAATGTGAAGTAATAAGACACTTTAAAATAATCACAGATCAGCACATGAAGTCAAGGATGATATCATTTCCTGTTAAGAGAATTGCATGTGTTGCTAGAAAATCAACTAACTTGACTTCGACTGTTCTCTACATGAAATAGCCACCACTGTTTTCTCTTTAAGTTGTAACATTTTCATGTGAAATAGTATTTTGTATGCTTTTCTGTTATCAAGAATAGGCATTAAATGTAGAGGTACATGAAAGAATTAACTGCTGAAACAGCAGTGGAAAAAGCAGTTAGATTTTCTTTAGAGAAAGATTTTTTCAGTTCTTCACATTTTCATACCAGGCAGGAGAATGGCATCAAATGTAGAATAAGGGCATCTAACAATGATTTCAAAATCCTGAAGTCCTTACTTCTCTGTATTCACCCCTTAGGTAAACACCCAAACTTGAGAAGAGTTTTAGCTTTATTTTTTTTAAGGAAAGATTAGAGAAAGATAATAAGTGGAGTAAATATTTTTGGATTTTAATTTATGCTGATTAGCAATAATATTATTTCTTTTTTCCTGTTTTCTTTTTTATGTGCTAGGCACATTGTCACTCAAAGCTTTATGCATAAATACAGCAAAAATAGTTTTCCTGAAGTTGGTGTTCATTTCATCATGAAAATAATGTTTGGATCAAATTTGCTACTGGCCACCTGGTACCTTCTTATTACATAGACTAAGATTTATTAACCTCTTAGACAATGCTATTGCAGTACTTTTCTTCTTATATAATCTGTCAAAGAGATGCTATTATTTCAGCTATGAAAATAAAGGGATTTGTTTCATTTTAGGAGTAAGAGATTATACTTTGAGAGAGCTCAGGTCTCAGTCCTGTTTATAGCCTATTTACAGTCAGTCTTTCCCCACAGGGACAAGATTTAAATCCTTTCCTAATGCCATCACCTCTCTCTTTACTACCAACAGAGCTATATATCTACATATCTGAAAATGTAACCTATTGTACAAGGTACATATGTTATATACATTCAAAGGATAGCAGTTTTAGCGCTTTCTGAATATAGTGAGCAGCAATAAAATATATTGGAAAGTGTAAGACAATGTGGAATTTGTTTCTGGGTAGAAGTTAACTAATGGGAAAGTAATTAGTACTCAATATATCAAGATGCAAACTTCCTGTTATAATCTTTGAACACACACACACACACACACACACACACACACACACACACACACACTCTGTTTCTTTATAGCAAACAGAACACATTTTGTCTCAGCAGTGACAAGCAATTAGCTTTACAAAATGTTTGTAATAATGAAAACTAAGATATTAATATAATATTGACTTGTATTTGTAAAAGTTGTTCTAACGTAATTTTGTTGAATAGGTATAAAATGTTTTAATTACAAATCACAGAGAGTAAATTAGTCTTATATTTGATCAAACTTATTTCTATTAATTTATTACTTTATTGAACTGAAAAACACTGCATAAAATGCATGTGGTTATACAAATTCCACAAAAATTACGTAACTTAATTAATTTAATATGTGAGATGGATTTGTTATCCATGAAATGTTTTTCTGGCTCATTGAAATACGTTCTTAATAGGATGTCTTTTATTTGTTATACACACCTTTGTTTTAAGCTTTGCATTCAAATTGCTTTACTTTTTGATAATGCATAATGAGTTTTGTTCAAGTGGGGGCTGTAAACCATACACAGAGGTTTCCATGTATATATAACAAAAGGCATTTCACCACATTCACTTGCTGGACTCTGTTGACATGATAAACGTGAAATCTCTTATGTCCAGGCGTTTTCTCTCAACCATCTATTGTTACTCACAACAAGATAAGCCTAATCTATTCTCTTACCATTCACGCTTTACACATCCTATTAATTGGTGTAATTAATAGGGGGGAGATATAGAACATGATTATATCAATTAACTTTAATGAAACTGATGATCTTACATAAGAAAAATCCAATGGCATGGCAACAGTTTATTTCTTGAAGGGGGTTGTATATCAAATAATTGGTAGGCAGCAGAAGGGGTGTAAATGGCACAAATGAGCAAACTACAGATACTTTGACGAATTCTATGGTAGGTTATCCCTGTGTAATACAATTGAAATTAACCCAGCTGCAGAGGCATAGCTAAGATTAAAGCATGCCCCATTTTCTCAAAAAATGCGTCTTTCCCCCACTAATAAAAGGAAGTAAGTTAAGAAAAACTACCACTGAATCCAAACTCAGCAAAAATAAAGACGATGGAAATACAGCCAAGCAACTAGTCACTCTTTAGCATTAGTTCACCTAAATCTGTGTAACACTAATGCTGTAGAGATAAAATTTGGTAAGCAACTGAAAATTTGCTTTCTCCATTTTATGCATTGTGTAAATGCCAATTTTGAGACAGATAAAAATACTTTTAGAACTAAAAAAAATGTTAAAATGTTAAAAGTTGGAGTTTTTGGTAGCCTAATTTTAATGTTAATCCTGCAACAAATGTTTACAATAAAGTAGCTGTGAAGTAATACTATAATGTTATTTTGTATTATGTGAGTAAATATTAAGAGAACCATTATACAGCAAATGATCAATTGATATGTTGAAGAAATGTATTTTTAACCAGAATCACAGGAAGGATAATTTTAGGATCCACCACCAACATGAACCGATAGAATATATTTATTTCCTTTTGGCCTCTTCTGCACAGACTTTGAATGCTTAGCATAGACTGATGCAGAATAAACACTTGGAATGTCATCTAGATAATATAAGGTGTTAAAAAAAGATGTTTTCCCAGTTTTGTTTTTTGAATGGATCCTAAAAGGAATGGTGCTACAAATGTCTCCTGGGGAGTTGGAATGCAAGGCCTTGCATTTTGATCCTCATTAATACAATTCACAGGCATAGTGCACACCTAACATAACATTTGGAAGATCTGTTGCAAACTCATTTACAAGCCTGAACAATTAGATAATGGCCCTTAACTTTCAAGACTCTAAATAAAAATAAATACATAAAAATAAACCCCAAATCATTTCCCTTTTAACTGGTTAAAATAATTTTTTCTCTTCTAGCAATGGCACTAGAAGGGCATTATAACTCTTGCAGATGTCAGTGATATGGCATTAGTGGCTTATTCTTTGCTGTGGTCTTCAAAGGAATAAAGTAGCAAGTGTATATATTTTTTTCTTATCAGTGCATGACAGCAGCCAACCACTTTAACAAAAATGTTTCCCCCCCTACCCCCCTTATTCATAGTTCATCCAGTTCCTGTAAGGGCATGCATTACTCACTTCATTTTCCTGAGATATCTCTTTTAAAGTAAAAATAAGAGAAAAGGAAAGGCTAGGGTTGACTCTGTCAGACCCCTGTATTTATTCACACTTATTGTGCATGACTGTAGACTGGTAAATCATATTAGCAGCCCATCTCCCCATCAAGCTGCTACTTGCTTTCCAGCCCTGGGAAGGTTCAACAAATCAACAGGAGCACGGAAAACAGAACATCAGTCTAATCTAGTGTTTAAGGTGAAGTTTTCAAACCCAATCTAAGAAGATCTTTAGAGCAAGCAACAAGCTGAAGGGCTCAGAAGGTGGTATTGACAATGAAAGAGTGCTGAAATATTGAGAAGCGCAGCACTTGTGCATTTTTAATAACAAGAGGGTCAACAAGGACACAACTCCCTCAGTGCCAATAGTTGCCACTGACTATGGAAATTGCCACACCAGGGCTATAAACGCTCTCAGTTCATCAGCTTTCTTAAACAGTTCATCAGCTTTCTTAAACACCCTAAACCCCCTCAGTGGACCTTTAGTCTTGAATTAACAAACCAAAGCAATGAAAGAGGGTGCAGCTTGAATGGCTAGCATTGATCCCCAACTGTGTTCAGCACTGCTACAGGCACTGAAAAACTCTCTCCATTGTCAATAGAAATTGACAAACCTCCTCTCCTAAATAGTACAGCTGAGCCAGGCTGGATCCATGCAGCTGTAAAGGGCTCCACTCTCAGGGCCCAGGAGCACTAACAATAGAACAAGCATGAGCTCTTTGTCAGTCCCAGACTCTGCAATTTTCTAACAAGGATTAAAGTTGTTTCTCGGCAGTGCTGGTGAAAAGAGATTTAGCAACATACCGTGCTTTCTTCATGCAAGTTAAAGAGAAGTAGTTAAGGAATTTCATTATTCTGTTGACTATTGGAAATGCAAAACAAATATATTAAATATTCACAATCCTTTTTCTTGCTTAATCTATAACATTTTGAGAATGATTCAATTAAATATAACACTTATCTTGTGAAAGCAAGCACTTCAGATGCATATTTGAAGTTTTATAAAAAGGTGCAGCTGTTTGCCACCTGGGATGAGGACTCAATACATACTAATACACAATGCCTTACACCTTCTTGGTCTGATATTCCTAAATCTGAATCACAAGACCCCATAGGGTTTCTGTATCTTGGCTGCTCTTGGGAAATGGGCACCGTCAGAATGCTGCTTCTGATGAAGATGAGAAATGTAGCTTTTTTGGGGGGGGGAGGGATGTAATGTTTTTTCCCCCCCCTACTTAAATCTTCAGCCTGTTATTGATTAGGAATTGGTGCTGCACAGTGACAGGTTTTTACCTCCCCTGGCTATATTGTTTTGTGAAGTACAATAATAAAAACCACACTTTTTATTGTAAAGATAGCATGGCAATACAATGAAAGCTATACTTCCTGTGTAAAATAAATATTTGAGCATCTTTTATAAAAAGCATACTATTTCATGAATAGCTACATTTAGAATACTGTACTACCTGTACAACATGTATTGTAATTTTGTAAATGTAGGACATCAAAATGTGTTGCTATTTAAATTTAGATTATTAACATATACTAGGTGCTTTAATACTTCAGAAAATAATATTAAATAATGAAAAATACCATTTAGCTTTTAAAA